AGAATTACATTATGGACATATCGAAAATAGTTACAAATACGTTAAACGTGAACCTTTAAAAGACGTCTAACTTGCATTTTTTTTAAAAAAAAATTCAATTTTTTCATTAACATTTATTATTTTTGCGATACAAATTTCTCAATGTAGTTTTCATCATTTTATTCGAAAATTTTCAAAAAAATTCGAAATTTTACATCCGAAAAAGAATTTTCAAAAAAATTCGAAATTTTACATCCGAAAAAGCTATATCTCATGTAAATTTTTGGATATAAAATTACATGGAGTATGATTTTTTTGGACGTAAATTTTCGATTGTAAAATTTCTACCAACTTCTTTGCAGGTTCGATTGTGCCCCCAACGTTAAAGTTCTGCGTCCGCCCCTGATAGTTTTTGCATGTACTTTGCATATTGATGCCTTTGGATCCCAGAAATTGATGTGCTGTTTACATTAGGCTCTTCAGCTGTTTCAGGGACTGAGGAGCTCAATGAGTTGGGTTCTTTCTGTTGGGGTTCTAACGCTCGGTGGCAGCTAAAAGGAAAAAGGAAGTCAAATTCGAGAAAAATGGAAATACGCAATAAACATGACAATGTGTACGCCAGGTACTAATCTGGACAGCTCATTTGGAAAGTCAGGACCAACAGAGGATATTAAGTTTGAAATTTCATCTGTTATGCCGATGGAGCCTCACACACGAGGACAAGCTGATAAGCTGGCAATTCCCCAAAGGTTAATGGCATACCGCCAGTCATGTTCTACAGTCAATCTGAAGTATGACGCATCAGAGTTTTATCTTGAAGGCTGTAAAGTTGATTCCGGTTTGTATGATGTTACTCTAGAGGTGGACAGGCACTATCAACCACAACCTGTTCCATATATTTCTACAAAAAGCAACTTAACTGGTAAATCGATTATTGGCCACCCACTTACTGTTGACGTGTTAGAAGGTGGTGCAGTAATTGAAAAGATGCCATGTGGAAGGCCACGCACAAAGATTATCAGTCCGAAGCAGCTGATCCCACCAGTGAAATCACGAAAATGGTAGAAGTGCTGTGAATTTATCATATCCTGTGACATTTAATTACTATCGATTTAAACTTTCTAAATAATGACCTAAAGAGTGTTAAATTATGTTGAATAAATTAGTGTATGAATTATATTTCTTTAGCAACAAATACGTGCATGAAAAATATGCAAAATGACGACTTACAAGTGCAAAATATAGAATAAAATTTTGACTTACCGAAATCAAGATATGCGTACAAAATATCGAGTTACCGAAATGTAGAAATTGGAACATGAAATGAAGTGAGGTATGAAAATGTAAATCTCTACATGGGTGTTAACATGATCAAATGGAATATATCAAATACTAAAATTAATATAACACTATTAATTTTGTTGGGTGAACCAACACTTGACTATATTCTTCTAGAACGGAATATATCAAATATTAAATATCAAACACGAACTCAAAATTAATTTGGACCTTATTCTGACATAATTTGGAGAAGGAAAGAATTATAAATCAATTATATGAAATTGATTTAGAGTGAAGAAAATGGAATTAGGAGGTCATATTTATAGATTTTCATGTGTCTCTTAGAATGTTCACATCTTTTGGGACGAATTAATTTAACCATTATATCACATTATTTCAAATTTAATGATGTAAATTCCACCTTATTAAAAGGTCACGCTTATTTAGAAGCAACATGACTCTTTGATATGCCCCTTTTGCTATTAAAGAGGCATATCTAGTAATCACACACATTTGAGCTTTTTTCAATTCACACAAATTGTTGTTTGCCAATTACTTCAAGTTTGACTGATTTAATTATTGCTATATGTTCTAAAAATTTGTTTTTGTTTGGTTGCTTGGTTCAATAATTTGCGGGTAGAAATTCTACCACTTACAACTTGAATTTGGGCTTTCTCGGCGTTTCCAATTAATTTCGTGATTTCCACGCTGATCTCGTACCCGGGTTCGCGCCACTTGAGGTTCAAAAATGTAAGCTTCTTCATCAAGAGTACCATAAAGGAAGGCATTAGACACATCCAATTGCTTGATATCCCATCCAAATTGTACGGCAAGAGTCAAAACAATGCGGACAGGACTAAAAGTCTTAAAAAAA